ACCTGACCTTGGTAAGCACATTTCACACTTGAGTGCCGTCCATCCGGGTGGCACGGAGCGGGGAGCGGGGAGGCAGGAAGACAGACAGAGACGCCGCTAGAGCAGGCTGCCAGGCACTGCCCCCGCCCACGGGCTGCGGGGCCTGCCTCGCCCACACGGAGGGACTGAGCCCACGAAGCCAAATTTCTGAGCTGCTGCTGCTGAGAATCCCATAAAAAGCGGTGCTATTTCTAACCTCCCGCACCATGGAAAAATACACACTCCAGCAGGCAACCCAAAATCTCTGGAAGGTTTATTTTTATACCCGTCCCCACGCACCCCCCCCCCTCCCAACCCATACTTCCCCCACAAAAACTTTAGGTGGAAAATTTGCTAGCTTTTTCGCAGTTTGACATTACTAAGCCAAGCCTCCACTGATGTGGCTACTAGCATGTTTGATTTTAAAGCAAAAAAGCAAAGTTTCTAACACAACTCTGAGTGTCTACTTGATAAGAAAACAATATAGTCCAATAACAGAAGGACAGAATCCAACGAACAGGCAAAGAAAACTTCCCCAGTATCCAGCCATGAACAGAAAGGACAGCGGTCACCAGTTTCTCTTCCCCGCCTCTGAAAGTGGTGTTCTACCTGCTGCCGTCCCTGTGCACTGCTGTGTTTCCCTAATTCAAACATGGCACAGAGCATCCCTGGTGCCCTCGCTGATTTTCAGCTTTCCGTGGTGCACTCTTAACCTTGAAGTTGAGGAATGAGGGAAAGCAGTGAGATGGAGCTCAGATCCGATCCCCCAATGCAGTGTAGACATGGGCCGGCAGGAGGGAGGGTAAATAGGCCTGGAGAACCCTTCTTGTTGGCTCTCGGAAGCCAAGGGGGACCCTAAAACTAGTCTCCCTAGGATCTACCCCACCCACTGGGAACCTTGGCATTACTTCCCTGAGGACAACCTGGAAGGTGAGAGGCACCAGCTCCTCACACGGATGGGACATCTTAGTCCAGCCTCTAGATCACATGTGTCAAACACAAGGCCCGCGGGCCAAATCTGTCCCGCCAGGCCTTGCAATGTGGCCCGCACCGCGCTGTCATCACTGCACTCCGCTGCGTTTCCATCACAATGACAGTTTATGACTGTTCAGTAAACCATTCGGCCTGCGATTTAGGCTGGATTTTAGATTTTGGCCCCTTCTCTGATTGAGTTCGACACCCCTACTCTAGATGCTCTCAACCTCGCTGTAAGGCTCAGTCTAAACTCTAAATCCTCCTTCAGCGCTGGGAACCCTTGGCAGAGTACGGTCATTTTTACCACAGCTCAGAATGTGTCTGTTTTATCACATTGTCATGGTTTAATCTATTTAATTGTACACTACCAAGGATATATTCAGAGAAAATAAGCATTACCTTATGCACCACTGCAGACATCAGGGACCTACACTCAAAGATGGCACTTCTCCCTGCACCTCTGATCCTATTTGATTTACCTTTAAAGTTTAAATGTAATGCAAATGCTGGAAATCCAGCTCAGGGGTGCATTATCTATATCTAGGGTTATTTTTTTATTTTTTTTAATTGATTTCAGAGAGGAAGGGAGAGGGAGAGAGGGAGAGATAGAAACATCAATGATGACAGAATCATTGATCGGCTGCCTCCTGCATGTCCCCCACTGGGATCAAGCCTGCAGCCTGGGTATGTGCCCAGACCAGGAATCAAACCGTCACCTCCCAGATCATAGGTTGACACTCAACCACTGAGCCATGCTAGCTGGGCCTAAGGTTATTTTTTAATTGCAGAAGCATCTTTCCACAGGGACCAAGGTCTCAGGCTGAAAGACTTCCAAATGGCTCCCTGGTCCTCACCATGCACTCAGGTCCATTAAGGACCTTGGGAGAAAAACAAACCCTTTCTTGTCTGTGCTAGGAGCCAACCAGGTCTACGTCTGAGGTTTCATTCTCTCAAGAAGAGGACGAGAAATGGTGCAAAAGCTTGAATAACGATTTATTCACCTACATTCAGCAGCTCTGTGCTCAACTGAGTCACAGCACCAGCACTCCACCACAAGTAACAGAGAAATTATAAATTCCAGGACAGTAAGCTCTAAGAACCTACTTTACACTTGCAAAAGTTCTTAAAAACACCTCAGAACCCAAGTATGAGCTCAAAAATGACCTGAGCCCTCGCCCATGTGCACAGTGGTTATAGCATCATGCACCTGGGTTGCAGGTTTGCAGGTTTAATCTCGGGAGCACGTGCAGGAGGCAACCAATCTATGTGTTTCTCTCACATCTCTCTCTCTCTCTCTCTCTCTCTCTCTCCCTCTCTCTCTCTCTCTCTCTCTCTCTCTTCCTCTCCCTCCCTCTCCCTTCCTTCCTCTCTCCTATTTTCTCTCTCTCCCTCTTTCCCCTATCCCCTTCTAAAAATCAAGATATCCTCAGGTGAGAATTAATTAAAAAGAAAGAAAGAAAATGACCTGAGAAGCACAAATCGGCATGCAGTCTGTAGACAGGATCTGTTCTCTATCTGCTCTGATTGTAGCTTTGTATTTAAAATCCATATACAGAAATGTAGCTTTAAAAAAAAAGTTTTCCGTTACCAATTTTGAAAGTTGCTTAAAATAGCTGACAGAGGCAGTAACCCCATATATGGGGGAAATCAGGTGCTTATGTAATTTGCAAGAATTATTTCTACTTTTGTTGAAAATTTGTAAATCAAGCTGTGAGTCCTTAGGGGTATAACCCAGTGGTGTATTCAGTTACTCAGTAAAATTCTACTTGAAGACAGTTTTAGTGTTTGGTGGGTGGAGTCAAAGAGGACTGTATCTGAGATGGTATCTCTGGGCCCAGGTACAAATGAGAGGCCACCTCCACTTTAAGTTGGTGGTGGGTGTGCCAAGTCATGGAAGAAAAAAAGCCCAGCTCATCAACATGCACCAAGCCAGGGAAGATAAGGGATTCCCAAACACCACGCTGGCCTGTCAAGTCATCAAGAATCACACGAATGGGAAGTATTTCATCAGTCACTAAGCATCCATGAGGCGAGCAGCCCAAAAGTGCCGTGAAAGCATGTCCCCCCCTCTCCCCCCCAGGAGAGCCCACTGAAAGGGCTCTAGGCCTTCAGCTGTCTGGCAGGGAAATCCACTCAGGAGAGAAACACGTGAACTGCGCACACGCAGCGACGCAGAGGAACTGCACCCAGCACTGACCGAGTGTGGTTGGTTACATACCGTGTGCTCCTCAGCACCTACAATCTCAGGAAGGCTCCAGACTCTGAAAACTCCATTTAAATTCAAGTTTCCGTGGGCCTCCAGGAGGAAGCACATTAAGTCCCTCCTGGTTGGCCCATTGCCTCATCTATTTCCAAACTACAGCCACAAGTCAAAAGGCTGAATGAGCGAGCCTCCGGGAGCGATCTTTATTAATCCATTTCATTGGACAGAAGCTGTGTTGAACTCCTCCTATGAACCAGGAAGGAGGGGCCCTAGAGAAAAAGAAATAAGGGAGGGGATGCGGGGGAGTCTTGACCTTACAAAGCTTACATTCCAGTAGAGGGTTTAGCTTAAACAGTGAGTTACACCTGGCACATTAAAAATTATGGAAAAGTTATGCCGAGACCGGTTTGGCTCAGTGGATAGAGCGTCGGCTTGGGGACTGAAGGGTCCCAGGTTCGATTCCGGTCAGGGGCATGTGCCTTGGTTGCGGGCATATCCCCAGTGGGTGGTGTGCAGGAGGCAGCTGATCGATGACTCTCTCGTCGATGTTTCTAGCTCTCTATTTCTCTCCCTTCTTCTCTGTACAAAATCAATAAAATATATATTTTTAAAAAAATAATGGAAAAGTTACGCCTTATATTTTAGAGACTTTCTTCCTTTCCTGAAGACTCTCAATATTTCTCCACTTGAGGCTCCCACGGCCTGGGAATTGGGCAGAACAGGAGCCACTGAAACCCCTTAAGAGTTGAGAAAGACAGAGGCACAAAGTTGGGAAGAGGCACACCTCGGGCGAAAAGCTGGCAGCAGGCAGGCAGGCAGAGGGGGGTAGGATGCGCCTGGCACGCTCCTGGCAACCTGCTGACTGCCTCGCATGGGGCCGGCTCCGATGCAGGCTCTGAGTCTGAGGGTATCCAGACAGAACCAAAACGCATAGGGGTTATCTAAGCTTCCAGTTCCAGAAACCCCAACGCCCAGCTACGTACACCCCACCCTCCAAAACACATAAAAACCAAATGCAGCAAATCAGAAGGTCAACCCCCACTTCACCGTACAGACCATGTATACTACCGACACAAAGGAAAACCTGCCCGCTCGACGTCACAAAGCTGAGAGAAAGGGACTGACGTTTAGTTAGTGTGTGTCATGTGCCAAGTGCTGTATGAAGCAGGGTGGCTCACTTATTTCTCAAGGCAACCGTATTATTATTATCCCATTTATGAAGGAAGAAACCAAGCAAAACCAAAAATTTAGAATGAGAAATAAAGAATCCCTGGTGTCTGGGCATTAAGTGCTCAGGCTCAGCAGAACAGTAAAATTGTTTTTCTTCAGGTATTTTAGTAACTCTAGAAATATTTTCTATATATTCAGGCCCACTTGTGAATGTGCTTGTGCTTGATCATATTTAATCTGATCTCCTACAACTTCCCTCCTATCAGAAAGAAAACTGCTAGTAGTTCTTACACCTAGAAGTTGGTACAACTTTCCTGAGGAGAACACCATCGCAAGAATCAATGCTGTGACCAGCTCTGCTCCACAAACATTGTCAAAAAGAGAGTCTGGCCTCGGCCCTTGTGTCTCGGTTGGCTGAGCATCATCCCAACATGCACCAAGAGGTCACCGTCCGATTCCTGGTCCAGGCGCCTGCGATTCCTGCTCAGGGCGCCTGCCTTGGCTGAGGCACATCCCCAGCAGGGAAGTGCAGGAGGCAGCCAATCAATGGTTTTTCTTTCTCCCTCCCCTCTTTCTCTCTAAAAATCCATTTTAAAAGTTTATTTTAAAAAAAGAAGTCTTATGATCTACTCACCTTTTAAGCTGTATGAAGACTGGTGTCAGTCCTTGGTTTTATAAGCAGATGATGTTACAAATGTAGAACTTCAGCTAAAAAGGAAAAATAAAGAATTTCAGTGAACCATTTATTGGTTTCACTTGGTGCATCCCCTTCCCCAAGTTCCAAAAAATATGTGAGGACCGTCGCAATCACCGTAAAGGCACAAATACAAAAATGAATAAATTAAGAATACAAAAATAAGCATCAGATATTAAAGAAAAGGAAGAAGGAACTTGAATTAAAAATCTGGGGTAAGAGATGTGACTGAAGGGGGAACAGAAATCCCCCTGTCAGCTCTCCAGCAGCCACAGGGGCACCGAGTTCTCATCTTCCAATCAAAGGACCTACACTTGTTCTTCCGAACACCCAGGCCTTTTCTTCAATGAGGGGCCACAAACAAATAATGGATGATGTCCTAATTGGATTTTGGGGTGTTTTTCAAATCGTAAACATGATAACTATGGCTGTGAAAAGACCATTCTCTTTCTTAACAATTCGAATTATCTTGCAATGACACCGATCCACCAATCCCCCCCGGACTTTTTCCTCCCATGAAATGCATGTTTAATTTCGTGAGAGCAGCACCGACCCCTGCTTAGTGAAGACCTCACTGGGGTGATAACACCTGTGGTTCTACCTACAAGGCTGTCTTCACACCTGCTCTACACTCTGTTGGTAGAATGTCCTCCATTGAGTGCTCCAAACTCTGTCCACTTCCAGGTCACACAATCTGTCACCAGCATCCCCATCCCAACGTGATGAGCAGACTCTGTGAGCATTGAGCCATTCCAGGTCACTTCAGGTGACCCCCTCATGCCTTACAAAGCCGTTTCAGGTAAACTCAGTCAGCTCTGCCTCAGATACCACAGCACCTCTCAGCCCCCAGCCTGCCAATGAGGAGGATTCCACTCCTGTCCAAGGTTGAATAAGCCACCATCTGTCCAGCTTGTGTGCTGCAGTGTACTCTCCAGGAGACTTGTCCCTCAAAGCGTACTCCTGCCATATGCCACTCCTGAGTGATCAGCCAATGCTAAGACATCCAGATTTTAAAAATGACTATGTCTAGCCAGAGGATACTGTGAGATTCCTGTGGCGGTCCACCCCAAACACAAGAGCCCAACACCTCGCTATTTTTGTGTAACTCCTTCCTATCAATAATTGCGAATCTACAGACATTATTTTCTCTTCCTGTCTTCTAACCACTGAGGGAAGAAAACAATCCACTTCTGATTTGCCAGATAACAGATTTCATTTCTCAACGGGGTGTGTGTGCTTTCATCAGTCTTCCTGGCATTTAAATTATGCTCAGATTTCTTGGGAACACAAATCAGTGGAACAATCAGATATGTACTGTGGGGGCAGAATTCTAAGGTGACCCCCAAACAAGTCATTCCTTTGTATAATCCCCTCCACCTGAGTGCAGGCAGAAGTTGTGAAAATGGCAAAAATAATAATGGGATTTCACTCCTTTCATCCGGTTATGCTATTTATGACTCCACCTCGGCAGACTAGACAGTGAGACTCACTTTCTGGAGTTAGAGAAGTGAGCAGCCATGTCATGACAGGGCTTGTGAGGGAGCCACATAGCAAGGATCTAAGAGCATGCCCCCCGCTGAAAGCCTGCAAGAAAACAGGGACATCAATTCTACACCTACAAGAAAATAGATTCTGCTAGCAACTTGAATGAGGTTAGAAGTAGATCCTTCCCCATTCACATCTCCAGATGAGAATACAGCTGGGCCAACACCTTGACTGCAGCCTTCTGAAATCCTGAGCAGAGAACCAACTAAGCCATACCCAGACTCCCGACCCACGGAAACTGTGAGATAATATATGGGTGTTGGTTTAAGCTATAAGTGTATGGTAATTTGTTACATAGCAAATAATTCAGTAATTTACTAAATATGGAGTATATATAACATATATGTGTGTATTAAATGCATAAATAATTGTACATCAGAACGGCCCTCTCTACCGGCCTCATCCATCCATAAATGGAGCTTCATTTATCCTTCTTGAGTATGAGCAACTTGTGGGCAAGAACCACATCACCATCTCCCTGGCATCCCCAGGATTTTGCAGAGTATGTGGCAAGTGGGAGGTCCTGAACATTTTTTTAATGAAGCCAAATTAAAAGAGTTATGATTTGTCAATCTCTAGTTACTACAATAAGGCCAAAGCAACAGAATTCATGCAAGCCCTCCGGCAGAGCTTAGAAACTCAAAATTAATTTCCAAACAGGTGGAAGACACTTAGCCTCATGCTCTATCCCAAATGACAAACACAGTTTTCCACTACCGGTTATTTCCCTTTACCTGCAAATCCCAGTCAGTGCTTAGAAATGTTGTTCCCTGGTGTTTTTGTTTTTGTTTTTGATTTGGCATTAGCCAAAAATCCTTACCACTTCTCTAGCATTCTGCCATCTCACAGCTGAAGATTAAAAAAAAATTCTCTAAAAAAATTTTTAAAGTAAGAATTTGTGGCTTGTTCTTAATATTCCATTCATATCAATAATTCATTCCCAATCAAAATGGAAACACCATTACAGGTCAAATAACACTGTTCTAATTCTAAAACAAACGTTAATTCAACTTCCTGACAACCTATTTCAAAAGTCCTTTAAGATTTTTCTATTTTTAAACTGATGATTTTTATTTTATTTTTTAATATATTTTATTGATTTTTTTACAGAGAGGAAAGGAGAGAGATAGAGAGCTAGAAACATCGATGAGAAACATCGAACAGTTGCCTCTTGCACACCCCCTACCGGGAATGTGCCCGCAACCAATGTACATGCCCTTGACCGGAATAGAACCTGGGACCTTTCAGTCCGCAGACCGATGCTCCACCACTGAGCCAAACCGGTTTCGGCTTAAACTGAAGATTTTTAATTATTTTAAGCAAGATTTTATTTAATCTCTGTTTAAAGTTGAACACATAAATATACTGTTTCTGTTATCCTTAAGAGATAAATGATTGTTTGTTTTATTTCAAGAAGATTGTGACTACAGTTGTGTTTATTTTAGATTTTGAAAGACATGATTTATTAAAAGGGATATTTTTAAGTATTCAAATCAGTTAAATTACTTAAGAGAGTTCAAAATAAACGCTTCATTCATTACAGAAACCTATCATGCTCTCCTGAAACCTATATTCAAGATCTTATTATACATTCCTACTCCCACATAAATCACTCAGTAAACCTGAACGTCATCTCCGAGGTTTATCCATCCCCTGGTGCTCAGTCTACCAGGCAGCAGTTCTCAAACTCAAGCCAAGAAAAACTTAAAGACACCAGTCCCATGACATACAAGGCAGAGAATTTCAATAAACTCGCCTCTTCTTCCCAGCATAATTTTAACTCTCCGGAGCCCATCTCTATGTGTGAAAATAGCCAGTGACCCACAGCAGGGAACTGGAGGGTCACGGAGACCCCTCCCCGTGCAGAGAAAGAAACAGGCCCAGAGGATGGACCCTACCCAGTTCCCTTCACCCTCCGTTCTAGTAAGTGCCTGCCCTTCCCATAAGCTCACAAAGCACAGCTCCTCACAAAGCCCAGTGCTTCAAGAAGAAGAAGGCCGAGGGTTAACCCTGTGCCCCCAAATGAAAGCAGGCCTTCACAAGAAGCGGTCACTTGGGAGGAAGGCACTGAGGAGAATTAACAAGCACAGGTGCTCCCAGAGGTGTTGGCGGAGGTCCTCTCTCACATCGTTGCATGAAGCATCTGAGGAATCTACACGTGGCTTTCCTTCCGAAGTGAAAACGCGTGGGCCAGTGGGCGATCTCACTAACCCCAAGCCATCTCCTCAAGGCCATGCTCCTGACACACTCCCAGCAGCCTCCACAGCACTGCGGGTTCAGTGGCTGCAGTTTGGGAACCAGGAACTGGTGAGAGGCAGAGCAAGAAGAGGCCGTGTGCGGGTATTCCTGAAAAGTAACACGTAACAAGGACCTGCCTCCATCAAGAAGGGGCTAGGTGAATGGCGGATACTGGGAAATCACAAAGGAAGTAAGGCATGTGGGTTCTGCATCTTCAGAACGTCCTCACTTCCTCTTTAGGGTAAAGGAAGACACGTGTCCCGCACAAAGGTTACGAGAGAGACCTGGCCACGTGCTTCCTTCCTTTCTCTGGCACGGGATCGGCTCCCGCTGGGGACTGGGCCCCGTGAAGTGCAGCCATTTAAAACACCGTGACCTCTGGAGACAAGAGGCGAGAACCACTTCGCGGACATTTACAAACTGGGACAGAGGAAAACACAGATGGAGGAAATGTGTTCAATGCTACAGAGAGAGATTAAGGAAAACAGAGCACGCAGGTCTCCTTCCAGAACCTTTTTTTGCTTTACAGCATTTTTCGGAAATGCTGTGGTGTTCCTTAACAATGGACCCACATGCAGAAACATACACGCATGGATTTTTGTGTCAGATACATTTTCTCTTATTTTTGGCACTTTTTTTCCTTTTTGTTAATCCTCACGCAAGGATATTTTTCCATTGGCTTTTGGAGAGTGGAAGGAAGGAGAGACAGAGAGAGAAACATTGATGTGAGAGGGACACATAGATTGGTTGCCTCCCACATGCGCCAGAAATCAAGCCTGAAACCAAGGTACGTGCCCTTAACCAGAATCAAACCTGGGACCCTTCCCTCCTCTGGCCGATGCGCTATCCACTGAGCCAAACCGGCCCTGTCAGGTTTGGCTGGAGCTATCAGGTACATTTTCAAGACACAAAAATGCATGTGTGCATTCGTTCAACCCATAAATGCCACAATTTTTGTTCTGATGCTTTCTCTCATGGAGCTGACTTGTTTCAGAATAAACTAATACCAAGAAACACTGACCACAGGTTGTCTTTGTGGCCCAAGGATCTGCCTCCTCACTAGCTGAGACTGGCCTGAGGGGCCCACAGAGCCCAGCATGACGAGCAAACCACCGGCACCAGGTGGCCACGTGCAGGGTCCGGCCATCGGGCCTCGACCAAGGGCTTGGCAAGTTGTTTCTTAACAAAGCATCAGAACCCATTGCTTGGTGCCTTTCAAACAAGCAGGGTG